CAATTCGATATTCTTTGTCATTGATAATCAAAATAATATAAGATACTTACTATAATTAAAAATAACAATCAGTAAAAATAAATAGCAAATAGAGATTTAATTATTAATATTGCATTGTTTACCAACCGTATTAATTGTCGCGAATTGCATGTAAACTACGTATATTTATATATCGATATCGAGTACAGAATGAATATTTCAACTATTCATTATAATTTTTTGAAGGATGCTCTTAAAAAGGAAGGTTACCTGAATTTTTGTTTGTTTTCATATTTTCATTAATGATATTTTGTAGAATAGGTTTCCATGGTGGTGTTTTACTCGTCATTTTTTTCTTTTAATTTATTGTGCTCGCTTATTTTCTTATTCTTATCAACCGATCGAGGCGTCACGTGTAACACACAGATTTTAATGTATAAATGTAATAATTTCTATTAAACTATTCTACATCCTTTCCTCAAACATTAATTCCATACATTTCGTTAGATAAGATGCTTATCTGACGAACTGCTCACATAAAGATACGTGTATATTTGTGAGTTATGTTACACATGATTGGAGTTTTTTGATTTTTTTTATTATGTTGTGAGGCAAAGCGAAACGTAGGATTCGTAACAAGAATTTTGGTGTATGTTACTTTAAAAAACAAGAACCACAATTTTTACTTTGGCATGTTATGCTAATGGATTAGTATCGAGGAAAATCAAGGGACGTTTGAACAGAATTCATCGTTGACTTTGGGTATTCGGAATGAATTAGGATTCTTGGACATAGGTGGTGGTGAATTGTATAAAATCTGGATTATTTCGATTTAACCGTTTTATTTATATCAGGGAGAGAACTTATTTGTAAGACGAGAAAGGTGTAAAATAATTGAATTTCCGATGCCGTTTTCTGTCGGTAAGAATTAAGGATGTTGATCAAGGTATTGCCAATGAAATTTAGCAATTCCAAAGATGAGAATGCTGAAATCGTTTGTAGATAAAATTAATTTTTATAAATGCAAATTTATGATGGTGATAATAATTAAGAATTTACCTGAAATTTATCTTAAAACCATGAATAAATAAGATTCACCATCTTTCGGGTGCTTTTCGGATGTTTTGACGCTTTTCGATACCACTTGAACGCTTCATGTACATCCTTTGAAGTACCCAACCCGATTCGATGATAACACGCCATGTTCATTTGTGCATGCAACACTCCAGCATTCGCCGCGTATTCATACCATAAATACGACTTTACATTATTTCTTTCAATCATTATTCCAAGTCGATATGCATACGCGAGATTACAAGCACCGCTAGAATTCCCCAAGTGTGCCGATTCCTTTATCCAGTATATCGCTTTCTCGTAATCTCGATCAGTGCCAAACGGAATCGAATAGCACCATCCAAGTTGGTTCATGCCAAATGGATTACCAAAGCAGGCGGAGATTGCGTACCATTTGAAGGATTTCTTCTTATTAGAATGTGTTCCGATTCTGTAATGATAAAACAAACCAAGCACGCATGCGTATATCTGTGGTTGTTGGTCATGCTTCTTTAGAGAAGCCTTGGCTCGAACGACAAGCGCTTCAAAGACTTCTTGTTCTGTGTAGTTATTTGTTACACGCCATTTTTGGATTTCTTCAACTAGATATTCGTCTTGCTCGCCTGGATCAACTATCGTGGAAAAGATTTCACAGAGTTCTCCAAGATTTATTATTGTCATTGTTTGATTTGTTATAATAAATATTTTTATTCTATTTTTTTGCGAGAAAAGAAGACACGCATACGGTATTTGAATAGTTGGAGTGAAATTAGGTAACGGTAACACGAAATGATTAACGTTAACAATTATGCTCGTATTAATCAACGTCAAGAAAATATCATCGAACTAAAAATACGGAATTTTTTACTATATTTCCGCTAAGAAATTAGACCTCTTCGAATTGTAATTGTAAATTTCATAGGAAGAACATTCCAATTTTGTATTTGTAAACTAAAAATAATAGATTATGAATTTAGCAAATAATTTACGTTTATCTTAACCACCGCCAAGCAAAAATAAGATTCATAATGTTTCGAGTATTTTTCGGATGTTTCGATGCTATTCGGTACCATCTTAATGCTTCATGCATATTCTTAAAAGTACCCAACCCAACTCGATAGCAACACGCCATATTAATTTGTGCATTCAATACGCCAGCATTCGCCGCGTACTTATACCATAGAAACGACTTGACATCATTTTTTCCAATCTTTGTTCCATGTTGATACGCGTTCGCGAGATTACAGGCGCCACTTGGATTCCCCAAAAAAGCCGATTTCTTTGTCCAGTGTATCGATTTCTCGTAATCTTGATCAGTGCCAAACGGAATCGAATAGCACCATCCAAGTTGATTCATACCAAATGGGTCGCCAGAGTTCGCGGCGCGAGTGTACCATTTGAAGGCTTTCTTTTTTCTGTGTGGTGTTCCGATCCCGTAATGATAAAATAATCCAAGTACGCATGCGAATTTCTTTAGTCGTTCTTCATCGTTATTTAGAGAAGTTTTTGCCTGATCGACAAGCGCTTCAAAGACTTCTTGTTTATTATAGTTATTTTTTACACACCATTTGTGAATTTCTTCGATTAAATATTCGTCTTGTCCGCCTGGGTCAACTATTGTTGAAAAGATTCCAGAGAGTTCCTCAAGATTCGTTATTGTCGTCGTTTGATTTGTCATGGTAGATGGCTATATTTTATTTATTTATTTAGTTGAGATATAGCCGATAGATGATAATTTTGAATCAAACGAATTTGGTTTATATTATTGTCTTTCGAGTAACACGAAATGATTGATTGATAATGTACGGTATCTTTATACATGTACATGTACTGTACATGCACATGTAGTTAGTTTAATTTATGTGAAATTTTGTATAAATGCATGTAAAAATCATTAAATAAAAAAAATTGGTTTAATAACGCTAAATAAAGGATTAGTTTGCTAAACGAAATATAACGATAATCTCATTTCACACTAAAAAGGGATATTAGTAAAACGATAATGCTTAGTGTTGATATCATTTTTATTCTTGTGGCGTAATCTTTTCAGGGAAACTTGTACATATCCAGGAAATATATAATCTATTGTTTACGTTTACTCGCGAGGATGTAGATTTTCACGTAATGTTTGGAGATTATGTCGGGATAAACGGTGAAATTAAAAAGACGTTAGCTATAATTGTTCTTTGTGTAATTGTTCTCTCGCGAATTTTTGAATAAAAATTGGGAATTTTTTAAAAACTTTTTGTGGAACACAGAGAAATTTCAGAAACAAAAAAAGTTGACTTGTGCTGAACTTTGTGGACATCATATTGGATACAAAATTTTTGGATTGTGTTAAGTGTATGAAAGGATTTGCATATATCGATATCGATATAGTTAATGTATACGGATTACATCGATGCGCGAAATATATATGGCCTTTAACTTGACTTTCTCATTTATCTAGACTGAGAAAGCAATTCCGCTGGTGAGCTGCTGAATTGCTGGTATTAACTGGGATTGTTTCTGTATGTTGGAAGTTTAAGAAATGGGACGGGGGCTGCTGAGTATTTATTTTGTGTAAATTTTTGTTTATTGAAAATTGTGTATATCATAACAAGACTGCAATGTGAGCTTATTTAAACTTAACATAGCCAATTCAAATCAATCCAACGATAAGTTAATGCTGAAAACGATATTATTACCGCGTTCTCGAGAATATTCAAATTGACATCAGTCACCTCGATGTAGGGAAGCTGCAAAATCTACTTTGAGCATATTTCCATTAAGGTATATTACTTTTGATGATACACCAATGGAAAGTCTGAAATTGGATGATAATGATATTGAAACACTGAATTCTTTATGTTGATTCGATGAAAGTTTTAAAACTTTTGATAGGTGTATTCGCGTTTTACGTGCTTATGCTATGGAAGATTACTAAGTCACTTTCTTATGCTATGGAAGATTACTAAGTCACTTTCCAATAATGGAAAATTTTATTTAATTTGTACGGAAGAACATGCATAGTGATCTTTCTCGTTATGGAGTGTGAATTATGCTGCTCGGTTATACAGCCACATTTAGCATAAATTAAATATAAATAAATGATTTTGCATCAAAAAGTAAAATAAATGGACCTTTCTCATTTCTTCCATTAGCTAATATGAATTCTACTGCAAATTCAAATTTTAACGGGGGATATAATGAAAACGCGGAACCAGGATTCTGCGCTGTATGTGCAACCGGTGTTATTAGCAATGGATCTGTCACACTCACGATATTATGGATACTAGCGAAAAAGAATTCAAATGGCATTGATACGAATTTTGTCCTGAATTTATTAATTGCGGATTGGTTGCAGAGTGTTGGTTTCAGCATGAGTTTGTATTGGATGGCAATAAGTGACATTACACCTGGTTTGTATTGTGATATTCAAGGTGTGATTATGAGTATTGGAGGGATGGGATCAGGTAAGCTTTTAGTACATATGCGAGAAATTTTTATGATTAAAATTAAAAATACATCTTTTTTTTACATTTTTAGTCTCTTGGGTAACATTAATTACGATATACACATTTCTGGTAGTGGTATACTCGAAGCAACCAAAAAAATATTCCAAAATACATATATTATCGACATTAATAATTTGGATTATATCGATTCTTCTGTCAGTCACATACCTGCTAATACAAAAGCCCGGAAAACCTTTTTTCACAACCGTCGGGGGAAATAGTACTTTTTGCTGGATAGACGACGCATACAATGACTCTTCTGTTTATATCATTTACATGTCAATATTGTTGTCGTCAATAATTATCGACATTATTTTACATGGCGTAATGTTTTACTTTATATATCGATATTCGACAAGAGTGATGTTTCGCAAAACGGCTGGAAAGTTGATCCTTTATTCTATGTGTTATGTCGTGCTTACTTTGCCACTTTGCTCCTGTAAGTTTCAGAAATTTGTCCGAGTTAAATGAATTGGGGGGTTGCTGCTAAACTTTTTTTGAAATTGTAGATCTTCTTTTTGGTCATTTCGGAATACCGGCTCCCTATTCATTGTAAGATATATTTCATTCTATCGTATCGCTATTGTATTCATGGAAAAAGTTTTCTTAGCTAATTTACTTATATACAAATACGTACGTAATTCTAACGCTAATTAGACTTGTGGTGTGCTCATGCATCTTCTCACTCAATGGCCTGACGGATAGCATAATTTATGGTTGCCTTACGTATATTGCATCGTTAAAACCGGTTTTCGAGCATCACAGTAAAGATCACAAAAAAAAATATCGATACGATGATGATAACGACCTTGCCAATATGAATAACGATATTGAGGAAAATAGTGGAACAAAAAATCAAAGTGAAGAAGATTTCTGCGAAGTTATAGGAGAGATTGAAGAGATAGCTAATGATGGAAGTGTTTAACGGGACTATGGATAATTACGGAAGGTTTCCAAGACGAAGTAGATTCCTACGAAATTGT